AAACGAACATAAAAGTCTTCCTAAATCTCTCTACAGGCTATGGTGTTTAAATATTCAGATAGCTTATTGGTTCTTGGTCTTTTGGTTGTCGACAACTGTTCCGCTGTTTGAATTTCGTTCATCCTTGTTTCGGACTTCAAGATGATGTGCGGTGCTGCTGGCAATGCTCGCCCTCCTTCTGAAGAGGAGAAGCAACTTCTTCTGTCACCTGTTAGTGCGCACCTTGAGCGGCACCTCGGGAGCCCTCCCCATCCCGTCGACATTGTTGAAGTTCGAACTCAATGTGTCGCTGGAACCAATTATTTCCTAAAGGTTTGTTTTCTTTTGTCATTACATCTTCCAGGTTACACATTCCGATGGCAAGGTTTGCCATGTACGCGCTTTTAGAGCTCTACCTTGCAATGGTGGGAACGTCGAAGTTGTGAAAGTTGTTGAGAAAAGCGGTTTGGGGGAACCTCTTGAATACTTTTAATTTCCGTCTATTTTGCATATTCACACTGCTCTACTTAATTTTTACCAAACAAGCTTTTAAGCTTTTTACCCTTGAAATACAAACCATATTCTACGGATTGATGTTGTTGCGTTTTGTTGACGCGCATAGTAATGTTTCAAAAGCATTGTGCCCAGGATTATCACATGCGAATTGTCACTAAGGTTAACGATGCTATTAAGCAGGCAACAAATTGATTTGCTCCTTTACAGAGATAGGCATTGAAGTCTGGATTTCTGACTACTGTATAACATCAAAATCGCTGGTCCGCTGCTAGTTTTGTGTTCATTGCACTCTTTTCAGAAGCTCATGGATATAAAATCCGCCCTGTAATGGTTGGCACAGGCTGTGCTCAGTGAGCTAACCTGATCACTAGATGCATTCAAGCTCGAAAATGTGGACTGTTAGCGCATGTGTAGACTGGCTACTAAAGTTTGTCAGTGGTCTTGAAATTTAGGCAGTTATGGATAAAAAACTATCTATACCAAAGGTAAGAGCCTTGAGGATTTATAGGCGGTTTCTTGTCAGAATGTATATTCGCTGGAGGGCCCACCAGTAAGTCTGAAAGACACCGTATAGGTTTATCTAAAATCACAGGAGAAGCCGAAAGCGAAAGTAAAAAAGTGCCAAACAGTAAAACGTTCGAAAATAGAACAATTACTTTCATGGGGTACGTAGGTGAACGCTTTCTGTAACAGTCGGCAAATGGAACCTCCAGTCCGTGGAGAAGATTTGAACCACTTTTAGGGGGTGCTCTCGGGGATTGTACATACAGCTACTTCGAAAAAAAAACACGTGAATCCATTTTAGAACTAGTGCGTTGAGGAATGTCGAATTCCAGATCCCTGCCTGGGTCTTCGTGCTTCAGGTGATTAGATAAATTGACTGTACAAATGTGTTGACTTTCTGTCGTGGTTTGAATGCCCTTAAGGGTTCTTTCGAGTCAACTCAGTTAATATATTCAAAATTATCGAACGCTCCTATCGAGGCCTACCTTGTCCCTCATGTCCATCATTTTATTTGCCCCGCTAGTGTTATGTATTGCAACCTGAGTTGATGGCTAGCGGGGTTACCCTTTATAGGTTGGTAGCCGACTTAACTCGCTGGAGGGTTTCGTGACCTAGTGCTGTCATCAGACAATTTGTTAAATATAGCCTTGGGTTTGTATCCAACTGGCATCTCCTCATATTTATTGTGAGATCCCATTGGCAAATCCAGTCTTTATTTTATCCAAAAAATATTATCTGCATATATGAGGCGGCGGCAGGAAGTTAGCTCCAACGTGTATGTGCAAAGACATTGTTGCATGCGCTGATCTCTAGGGGGCGGCGAGACATGCCAAATGTGTACACTCAGCTGCATTTCCAACTGAGGCGTAACTTAAGGGCTTTTCCATAAGTTTTTGATCGATCGGAGCCTATCTGGAATCTAGAAAGATGGTCTTCTTTCACGGAAGACATGCCATCTTGGACCTAAAAGTGTGTTTGTCGAGAGTTTGAGAAATGCCCACTTGGATATTTTTTGCATAACTTCACACTGACTGGTCGGAAATTCCTAATCAGTTTAGGTTATGAAGCGACTAGAGGGCAAGGTCAAGTAGTCCAGTCCTGATACTTCGTCGGGTTTGTGGTTTTATAAATTCCGCTTTTCATGGTTCGGATTATCCACGAGGGAAATAGGAGCGAATTTCCAAATAACCGTCGGAAACCGTATTCGCTCGTGGCGATGTTTCTATTTAGATCACATCTACGTCTATAGGGGCCCACATGGACCTTGCTACTAGGTCGACTCAATAAGCTTTATTTCGGGCAGTATGTGAAGATGAGGTCATCCTATTAGTGGAGCTAATCTGTGGTCTACGAATGGTCGAGCTGATTTCAACGTAAATTAACCGGTGCGAAATTGATATCCCGAGTCCAAGGTATGATCGTCAGCGGGTCATCAGTCGTTTAGCGCCCAGAGCTCTCAAGCTTGAGTTCTGGCAGTGCTTTACGAAGGAGATGACAATATTGCGACCTGACGACTAGGGCTTGTCGTTTAGCAGGTTATTTGTCGAGAAGCGCCGTCTTTTGGTTTTCCCACTACGGTGAACGAGCCTTGGGATGGTCTGCGATGGCTTCGCACGCCTTCCAATCACCTGAAACTCCGTTCACAAAATAATGGTTTCCACATTGTTTTCTTCAAATATTGCAACGCACGACTTCTATTCGTCAGAGGCAGGCATACATATGGGAGGAGACTGGTCGGCTATGGGGAATGACTCTACGAAAATGTTTATAAGCCGATGCCTACAAGTTTGGCTTTGGAAGAACCAAACAGAAACACCATCAAGGATATGACACGCCCTGTCATACACTAGGGACACCTCAGAAGCGACTGAGCGCATTGTTGCGGGACCAGGCGTTGGAATCGCACGATTGTCCAAAGCTTTAATGAAAACCAAATACCGACTGAATCCTGAAGAGGAACCTGGGTAGTGTATGGTTTTTACATGTCTAAACTGTTCTCGTAATTACATAGGTCAGACTGAAAGCCTGTTCGGATCGCGCATACATGAACGTAAGTTGGCTGTGCGACGGGACGACTAATTATCGCAAACCGCTGCCACTACCCATGAAACGGTTTCGACATTGCAGTCGCCAAAATAATCACCAGATCGGAAGCGAGACAAGCTGAAAGTTGACTGAGGCCTGGTCCACGCATGGGAACCCAATCGATCGATTAGGTGTCGGCGCGCATAGCCCTGCGCAATTACCTCCAGACTTGCGTCATGTGTGGATTTGTTGGCTGGCGCCCTCTTTAATTCTCACCTTTTTTTTCTGCTGCTCAGAATAATAAACAAACCGTTCATTTGCTCAGCCAGTCCTCTCCTTTACTCATACAAACATCTAAAAGGCGGACCTTTGCATCCATTAATTCCTCATAAATGCAGTCCTGCTCCTCTACTGCAGGTGAAAGTTGGCGAGTCAGGCGGCCTTCATGAATATTTACTCTTAATGTGATCGCACGGACTGGTGTCTGTTCACGGTGAAGGAATACCTGTTAGCTGGGCTAAGGAAGAGTGTATCGACAGCGATCGAGATGTTGATTATGGTTCAACCAGTAAACCTCGATCAGTGCGTGGACGATTTCCAAGCGTACTGAACAATTTTTAGTGGTCTGCGTGGCCATTCCAACTGCCAACGATGGTTGTTATGTCCGTCAGGCTGCACTAATGAGTTTGCGCGAACAGTGCTTTTGCCGTGGCTAAACTGAGTGGCTTCAATTAGCTGGATGAACGTAATCACTTGTGTCTACCCTTCTCCCTCGCAGTAATATTTTGTGTAACACTCCGACAACCAATCGTAAACTCCCAGATGCCCATATCTAAAACATCTGATTATTTATTATGATACAAACTTGCTATGAACTTCTGGAGGTCCGAATTAAGTCTGCCCAAGGCGAGGAACAACTCGAGGTTGGCTTCTTTCGGCGGACACTCAACCTCACGGTTGTACCCTTAACGATGGTTTAGTTGATTCTACCGTACGCAACATGATTAAGCCATGCGGATTATATTCTTTTATCAAGGTCGAAGCCCCCTTGCACACCTGGAGCGCCACGTAGTCACGGATGAGTTCAAAGTTTAACTCGAAACTCAGATTGGGTGCTCGTTTTAAGCGAAGAATTGCAAGGTGACATCAGCCATTTTTTAAGCAGTGATTGCGACCAGGCAGTAGTTACTGCTGGCCGAATGCTTTTGATAGACAACGCAATGCAGGTAGTAGTGAATAACTGTCCTTGACGGCTG